ATGGGTATGCCGTCTGTGAATGAGTTGATGGGTATGCCTGTCTGTGAATGAGTTGATGGGCTATGCCTGTCTGTGAATGAGTTGATGGGTATGCCTGTCTGTGAATGAGTTGATGGGTATGCCGTCTGTGAATGAGTTGATGGGTATGCCGTCTGTGAATGAGTTGATGGGTATGCCGTCTGTGAATGAGTTGATGGGTATGCCGTCTGTGAATGAGTTGATGGGTATGCCGTCTGTGAATGAGTTGATGGGTATGCCGTCTGTGAATGAGTTGATGGGTATGCCGTCTGTGAATGAGTTGATGGGTATGCCGTCTGTGAATGAGTTGATGGGTATGCCGTCTGTGAATGAGTTGATGGGCATGCCGTCTGTTGAATGAGTTGATGGGTATGCCGTCTGTGAATGAATTGATGGGTATGCTGTCTGCTTAATAGCTCTAAAGACTTGTGTACATCTTGTATATTTTAGAGATATTTTCGTTGGGTAAACTTTTCACTGCTGCAACATTTAATGATTTTTACTGACTTGTGAAATACAGTATATGCATCAGACAGCAGTCCTATGTACCGGTACATGTTTTGGTATTCTTGTTTAATTATTATTCTCAAGGCTGGACATCCAGGCATTTTTGGCGCCTGGCATCCATCACCGGTGAGATGAGACTGAAAACTCTTTAAAAAGTGTCTATTGGGCTACATGCATCTATTGAGACTTTCCTGAACAGTGTAATAAGACTACTCCTATATGTGCAACATATATAAATTTGGTACTTCAAACTTGAGTTTGTACTGTTTTCTTGACTTCGACGACGGGTGTTCCACAGCAACAAGCATATAGCCCATAGAAATACGTGGTGCATGTAAGAACAACATAAAACTCCAAACTGCAAAATCCAATTGTAATGTTTGGGACCACCTAGATCTGTGTCACAGTGTAGGAAATCTGCAATGTGACATGAATGTTTGGGACCACCTAGATCTGTGTCACAATGTAGGAAATCTGCAATGTGACGTGAATGTTTGGGACCACCTAGATCTGTGTCACAGTGTAGGAAATCTGCAATGTGACATGAATGTTTGGGACCACCTAGATCTGTGTCACAGTGTAGGAAATCTGCAATGTGACATGAATGTTTGGGACCACCTAGATCTGTGTCACAGTGTAGGAAATCTGCAATGTGACGTGAATGTTTGGGACCACCTAGATCTGTGTCACAATGTAGGAAATCTGCATTCACTGTCCATCACAAATACATACAGTTGTATTTTATTTCCATTTCTCCAGGCTCCAACAAAAGCCAAAATAAAGAAAAATATTTTTGGTAACTTGACGAAAGCTGTTGGTGAAGCTAGGAAAGGAGGACACAAAGATGTAGATGAGTTGTTCCAACAAGAGAGAGATAAATGTAATGAGAAAGTATTACTCATCAGAGATGCCAGTGATAATTTTAACAAAATGGTTTTTATTCAGCAAAGTAAGTGAACGGGGAGAAACTAGAAACTTTCTGAAATTTTGTTATTTATAAGTCGTTACAATAGAACTTTGAACAAAAACGTTGGCTTGACAGTTTTGCAACCATAGACGAAATAGACATCTTGTACACTCATACCAGTGTGATTAAGGGAAAAAGATTCTAGTTAACACATGAAATGATTCACTGATTAATGATTTGTCAAACCAGTGTAATTGTTGAACTCTGTAATTTGACACAATTTCCATCAAATTTAGTATCTATTTGTAAAAATTAAGGCGTTAAGGGAATTTTTTTACCATTCCTGTGAGTTTTATGTCATACATAGTATTTATAGGTAATTTCTATTTGGACATTAAAAGATAAAGTTGTCTATGTGATCAACGCCATTTAAACCCATTCAATGATTAGCTGTTTTCACTACACCATGTTGAAAAATCAGAACAGATAGGTATAGCGCCACCAAGTGTTCAGCACGAAACAACAGCAGTCCTGTCATGATGATTCTTTATATCAATGTTTTTATATTTATTTTTGCTGTCAACAGCATTCTAATGTAAATTCTATGACAATTTGATGAGGGGCAAGAGTTACATAGTTATGCGTTGGAGTGATGAAATGCCTAAGCATGAGGTCTGGATGATACCATTTACCGGTAAATGGCAAATGAGACCAGGTTTAAGACTCTCTAACCGGTCAAGATGCCATTTGAGAAAGATTTAGAGACTCTTGGATGCCAGAAATGAGATGAGACCAGCTTTAGAGACCATCATTTTTTGCAGTCTGATTGCACCACAGTCTGCTGGCACACAAGAGATAATAAAATAAATGCGTTGTGAAACAAGTTTTTCAGATTCCTCCAAATCAGGGAAAAAATACAAATCTTTCACAGCCAAATGACCCGTTGGGGATAATATTAAGCCAATCGGTAACAAAATTCATTCGATTCATTGTTTTTGTATGGAAAAATTCCTTGAATACGAACACCTAATTACACAAAGAACATAGAACATTTATTTCTGTCGTTGATGAGGTATGTATATGCAAGTACCAAGTAGCAAACATGTGTTGTATGCGAGTGACAAAAAGGGCCCGAGAAAACAAGTGTATACAAGGGGTGAAAAAGAGTCATTTGCGAGTGGCAAAATGTATAGCAAATATAAACAAAATTGGCTTTTCTTTCATTTTATATTAGGGCTTGAAGGAGCAGCTGCACATTTGTCCACCACTTTAAATCTGGGTGGCGGCATTTTGGAAGGAAATAACGCCACTGCTAATAAGTGAGTCATGTCAGTTAGCTCACCACTCTTTATTCTGCTATGTAGTAAAGATATAATACACTTATGTGATGGCCACCCTTCGACATTTCATGGCCACCTTTGACAACCATCTTTCGACATTTGATGATGACCACCACCTTTCGACATTTGATGACTGCCACCTTTCGACA